TTCTTCTTCTTCTTCTTCTTCTTCTTCTTCTTCTTCTTCTTCTTCTTCTTCTTCTTCTTCTTCTTCTTCACCACCATCCTGGAGTACACTGTAAGTTCAAAATCAGCCTAAATTACATAGTGAGATCCTATCTCAATTTTTTTCTTTCTTTTCTTTTCTTTCTTTTTTTTTTTTAACCAAGAGATCAGATTCCATGGGCCTCTTGAGTGCTGGGATTATAGAAGTACATCACCTCACCCTGCTTTAAAAAGTAAATAAATTAGAGGCTGAAGGTATTGATCAGGGAAGAACATATGCTTAGTGTGGTAGAGGCCCTGGGTCCCATTTTCAGATTTAAAACAAAAAATTTATGAGTACCTCTTAGGTGCCAAGAGCTACTCTGGGCCCTTTTATACCTTGTCTGACTTAATGTTTAAAATGTTCTTGGCTGTTTTATGTTTATTTATAGATGTATGAAGAAACTAAGGCTTAGAGAGGTTGAGAATCTTTCCCAAATACACAGCCAATAATGGAAAAGTTGTTTGTCTGTTTGTTTTAAAGTCTTTTTCTCTCTAACTCTAAACCCTTATATATACCTTTTGCCTCTGAGGTCAGGGGACAGCCTGCATCTGAATATGAAATGAGTAGCATAAAAATAATTCCTGCCAGGCGTGGTGTGTGCCTGTAGCCCCTGCACTTAGAAAGGTGAGGCAGGAGGATCACTATGAATTCAAGAGCAGCCTGGGCTACATAGCGAGTTCAAGGCCAGCCTGCACTATGTAGCATGACCCTGTCTCAAAACAAACAAATAAACAAACAAGGAATTCCTGCAACAGGACTTCCAAAAAAGAAGGGCCAACTGTAGGCCCTTGACAGCTTCCTGGACTGGGATGTCAGCAGAGTAAATCACAGCCTGGGTAGACAGAAGAAGTAAATGTTCCATGGAAGGGCCTCTCACAAGCAAAACCCAGCAGAAATACTAAGCTGCATCTGAGGTGCAAGCAGGGCTGTGTGGCAAGCAGAGGGAGGGAAAGGGCCCAGGACCGAGCAGCTGTTTTCTGTAGGGTCACACGGAGCCAACAAAAGTCTACAACAAGGGGCCAGGGAGATGGCTCAGTAGAATAAGCGCTTGCCTGGCAAGCGCAAGGGCCTGAGTTCAATCCCTGGTTCCAAAAAATTCTACAGCAAGGAAGGAACTGGATGACAACTGCATGTCGGTCCAGTTAACCTGAGAGCACCTTTTACAATGATAAAAGGAGGAAGATCATGAGGCAGCGAAGCCAAACAGGCGTGAAACGCCAGCTCTCTACTCCTAGCCAGATTTCATCTCGGAATAAAGATAGCAGTATGCAAATACATGGTATCATAAATATATACCTCATGGGACCCAGGAAAGATCTAAGGCTTCCAAGAGTTTACTGGAAGAACCACAACAGAACAGTACCTCTGTTTATTGCTTTGTCAGGGTCAACACATCATCTTTGAAGTTCCTGAACAGGACAGTGGTTATCACTTAAATAAGCACGCAATCAACCCTGGGAGAAATGTAGTGCTGGTTCAGCATGTGGCAGACTTTAGCTGGGACTCTAAGTTGTAGAAGTGACCCTCATTAACCTTTGCTTGGGGTCTGCTCTTCTGTCCCTTAGGGGCTGCTCTCTCGCTTCCCTTTGTTCATCTGCTCTTTGCTTCCTGTGCCTGGGAGGAGTCAGGTGAGTGTGTGGTTGACGTTGCCACTGGATCTACAGTCTGGACCATGGCTTTTGTTGTGTGTGTGTGTGTGTGTGTGTGTGTGTGTGTGTGTGTGTAGGGTCTACACTGTAGGGCCTCTCTAGCTGACAGCAGTTCCAACAAGCAGTCATGGATAAGGTTCCTGAGAGTGTAGCTCATGACTTATTGCTCTTCTTGGGTTGAGGTTCTGAACTTCTTCCATGGCTTGTTTTCTTATACCAGAACTGGAAGACAGCTTAATTTGAGAAAGAAAAAAGGAAAGGGAGGGGAGGGGAGGGGAAGGGAGAGAAGGGGAGAGGAGAGGAGAGGAGAGGAGAGGAGAGGAGAGGAGAGGAGAGGAGAGGAGAGGAGAGGAGAGGAGAGGAGAGGAGAGGAAAGGAAAGGAAAGGAAAGGAAAGGAAAGGAAAGGAAAGGAAAGGAAAGGAAAGGAAAGACCAAATCGTTAGTTCCAGCTTCCTGCAGTCAGGCCCAGTACAGTAAGTCCCTGACTTATAAATGAGTTCTGTTCTGGGAGAACATGGTGGTAGTTTGGATTTGTTCCTAAGTCTTACACCGTACACCTGTGGAAGTTCACAACTTGAATGTTCGAATGTTGTGGCCTCACTGATTGTAAGGAATCAGGAAACCCTGATCCCGAGTCCTGACTACCACTCCCATGGCCTTGAGCAAGCCCCTTTGCTTATATGCCTGCAACCGAAGGGGATAGGGCAATTTAACGTTCCTTTCAGAGCTGATGATCCAGCCATGACAGGGAATTTCAAGAAGCTCCAGAAAGGGCTGGGAATATAGCTCAGCAGTACAGTACTTACTAGGCACTTGCGAGGCCCTGGTTTAAATTTTGTATGACAAAAATAGCAGAGGCCAAGCTTAGTAGCACATACTTGTTACCTCAGCATTTTGGGAGGCTGAGGCAGGACAATCATAAGTCTAAGCCTAAGCTAGGCAACTTAATAAGACCTTGTCTCAAAATAAGACATAAAAAAGAGCTGTGGGTATAGCTCAGTGAAAGAGTTGCAAGAAGGAAGATAATTTATTTTCACATTCTTTCTTATAAGTGACTGTAGTTGAGTACTGTATTCATTTCATTAAAGAAAGTTTTGACATTTGGGAGGTTGAGGCAGGAAGATTTCTTTGAGGCCAGGTTAGGCTATGTAGCGAATTCAAGGCCGGTCTGAACTGGATAGTGAGACCCTGTCCCAAAAAAACAAAAACAAAAAAAGGCTTGAGAGTTGTGGATATGCAGCCTTACCCACATTATGCTTTCTCTGGTAGACAGAGACACGTGTTGGGCTCTGTGCCCACCTGGCCTCGTTCCTGGGAAGAGGGGGCGGTCTGCTGGGTGCTGCTGGACTGGATGTCATGGTACATTCTTTACACACTAGCTATTTTTTTTTTCTTTCTTTTTTGATACCTGGAATCAAACTGAGGACCTTGTGCTTGCCAGGCAGGCACTTACGCCACTGCACAATGGCTTTACCATACAGAAAGTGTTCACACCAAAAGGTCAAGATCACCGACAAGGACAAGGATGACAGAGATGGGCAAACGGTCAGAAGGAAGCTTGGGGAGTTGGCCTTTGACAAAACCACCTGTGGCTGTGGTAAAGCAAGCAAAACACACCTAGAGCAGCAGCAATCATGACTCAGTTTCTCTGATTTTTCCAAATGGCAGGAGCCAGGGCAGCGGGACTGGAGGCAGGTGGAGGTAGGCAACGCTTCACAGAGCACATGCCACTGAGTGGGCCTTGCTTCGGGGTCCGCTCCGGGGGGTGCCCCATGCATCTCCCACTGGTTCTGTTACCTGACACAGTGTAAACATTGTCCTTCATTTTGGTCCCCTTCCTCTTTGGTACTGGAGATTCAACACAGGATCTTGTGCATGCTAATCAAACACTCTTCCACTGAGCCCCAGCCCCAGCTTTTCCTTTGTTATTTATTTGTTATTGATTGCTTGATTATTAAATCCAGGTTCTTCACACTGAGCTACATCCCTAGCTTTTTTTTTTTTTTTTTTTTGAGACAGGGTCTTTCTAAGTGGCTAAATTGCCTAGGCTTGGCTCAAATTCTAGACTTTCCTGCCTCAGCTTCTGAGAGTGCTGTCATTCCAAGCAAGCACCACCATATCTCACCCCTTTTATCATCATGATTATTATTATTATTATGTTTATGTTTATTTATTTATTTATTTGTGAGGCAGGGTCTTATTAAATTGCCTGATTTGGGGTCAAACTCTTGATCTCCTGGCCCAGCCTCCAGAATAACTGGGATTATAGGTGTGGTGCCGCCACTGCATCCTGCATCCTGTTTCATTTTGGTCTTGAGAAGTAAGCTAAGAAGCTACAAATCCAACAGAGGTTTGCAGCCACTTGAACAGTTCTCCTTTGTTAGAGGTCCACAGCTGAGGCTGAAATTAACAATGAGGAATTCACATTAGCAAAGAACAAAATATGGAAACCTGATTGCTCTCTTCCTATGGGACAGAATATTTCCCTCAACAGAGAGCGCTGGATTACCAGAGGAACTTTTTTAGGGTCCTGAAGCATTTATGATCAGATTCCTCTGTCGGGGTTAGTCTAGTGCACTGACTAAGGATGTGAAAGTCTCTGCTGGTAGCTTTTTTTTTTTAAAAAATATTTATTTATTTACTTATTTATTTAGTGTGTGGCCAGCTCAGCCCACCAGGGGGTGGGCGGGCCAGCATGTGGTGCTGGGGGATTGAACCGAGGTCTCTGTGCTTTGCTTGAGCTTAGCTTGATCTAAGTAGGTGCTTTAGACCACTGAGCCATCTCACCAGCCCTCTGCTGGTAGCTTTTACTTTAATCTGCTGAAGCCACTGGCCAGGGTCTAAGAGAGGATCAGAGCCAGTGTGTTGCTAATTGGACTCTAGGTTTTGAAAGATACTCATCTTTAGAGACCTAGTTGTCCAGATAGTCAGGATTCTAACCTTCCTGTTTCTTGGCTGGGTTGATCTGAGCTCCTGCAGGTCACCTCAGGGGTCAGCTTGCCTCCTGTGCCTGCACCTGCTGCCTGTGGAATGCTGGGCTCCAGGCCACCAATCTGTAGGCCTCCACTTGTGAGCTCTGTCAGCCTTTCCTGTTTCAGGAATCTGTTGAAAAGACTTCATGTGTTACCAGCATGGAAAAATGCACATCTGAGCTAAAACCAGGACAGCCCAATTGAACAAATTTATTTATTTATTTATTTATTATTTTATTTTATTTATTTTGTATTTAGGACAGGGTGTACAGGGTCCCACTGCATAGATTGGACTCAGTGATCCTCCTGTTCACAGGCTCCCAAGTGCTGGGATTACAGGTGTGCGCCATGCCCAGTCTCAATCGCTATCTCAGCACACCCCAGGGGTGAGGCCAGCACAGCAGGTCCGGGGGATCGAACTCCTGGCCCTGAGTCTGTCTAAGCAGGTGCTTTAATCTGCTGAGCTATTTGACTGGCCTGAACACATTTCAAAACTCCAAGGAACAAACTGAGCTAGAAGTTTCTTGTCCCACTGCCTCCCTAAGCCTTCTTTCTTCCCTACACCCAAGACTGAGAGGAAGGATTCAAATCTAATAAAATCCGTGGCTTCTACCCCTGTCTTCTGCAGATGTTTAGGAGAAACCCTGACGTCCGGAAAGCTGGGTTCTCTGAAGGGACCCTCCCAAGAGCTGTTATATCCACAGGAGGGAAGATAGTTACACAAAGGAGGTGTGGTATTCACAGGTAATTTCCCTAAACCCTGTGCACAACCCTCTCCAGACCATTTTTTCAAGTTAAAAGCATTTTTATGGCTCTCGTGAGAGTAGTCTCTTCTAGATTTTTCCTGTCCTTTGTGCTATCTTCTCCCTCAGGCATTCTCACCAGCCCAGGTCTCTGGAGAGGGAGCCAAGCAATGCCAAGGAAGAAGAGAGGAAGGCGGGACTGGTCCCCTTCAGACAAGGCTGCTTAGAGGCTTAGCTGCTGATCTCACCACTGCCCCAGGCCCTGGGTGGCGCTCCTTCCAAATCTGTAACCCTGTGTGATTACACTGTGGACTGTGGGGCTTTAACTCAAATCACAAAGAGCCTCTTTGATCTAAAAGTTTCTCTGAATTACCTCCACATCCCTTTCTCTTCTGCCTCTGGGCAGGACTTCTTTTAAAACCAGTGAGTTCACTTACATCTTCGCAGTAGCCATTGGGTGCTAGGCTATTCTCAGATAAGGAAGCAAAGATTCTAAGAGTTTTTTTTTTATTTTATTTTATTTTTATTTTTATTTTTATTTTTTTTATTTTTCAACAAATAATACACTGCATATATTCTTCTTAGTGGTTAATTGCTGTACAAGATGCCGACTTGTGATCCTATTTACAAACTCCATTAGAACAAATCATTCTATTCATTAACAGAATGTAACTATATATCTATCCCAACCACTTTGAATACACAGATACAAAATGGACATTCATCTGTAAGATTCTAAGAGTTTAATGCAAAGCTATACACAGCTGGTTAAGGGTCTCACTTTGTCCAACTCAAAATCCAATGATCTTTTTCTGCCTCAGTTTCCTCATTTGTAAAATAGAGGTGTTATTAGCACGTACTTCTAGGGTTCCTGAGAGGGGCAGATGCTTTATTTAATATATGCCAAATGTTTGAGGCACCCTCTGTCACAGGTGAGGCAGTCACAGGGCCCTCACAAAAGCCTATGCCCTCTTGCTGGGACTTTAGCCTCCAAGACTGTGAACTAAATAAACTCCTTTTCTTTCTAAAACACAAAACCCAGGGCCTTGCTCTACAAAGAGTGTCCAATAATCTTCCACTAATATTGTTGTGCTTCTTTACTATTTCAAGCCCTGAGCTCCTGACTCCTTTGTGGGAAGAGGAGCCCCCTTCCAGATTTGGAGAGTATTAGGGAAGAGGGGAATGAACCTCACTATTTCCCAGCAGGCTGAGGTGAGGGTGGAACAGATATTGAAAGCAACGGGACTGAGCTGCTTGCCTGAAACTTTCAGACGCAAATAAACTTATAAAGGGGAGGGACGAACACTTTGCAAAATGTTAAGGGCCAAAAGAAAAAGGACTCCTGAACTAAGCCATTATAAAGCAATATTCTACTCTGTGGCATGCTGAGGGCCTTCTATTTTGACATGGTGCTGGATGCTTCTGGCCTTTTAGTGTACCTTTACCAAGTAATTATAGTACAAGGCAGGGCCAGTATGTGAAGAAGGGAGGCGCCCCAGTTCCCTCCCAAAGGTATGTCTGAGAGCCTTCTAGAGGTTAGGGCCAGCAGCTACAGGCAAAGCTCTGAACTCAGGCAGGGAGCCTGCGGTCTGGGAAGTGCTGGCTAGGGCAGGGACCTGCTGGGTAGCTCAGCTCCTCTTTGACATCAGTCTCTGTAATTGACAAGGCGAGGTGTGGTGGTGCACACCTGTAATGCCAGCACTCTGCAGGGTGAGGTAAGAGAATTATTGGGAGTTCGAGGTCTGCGTGGGCAATCTAGTGACTAAAAATAAAAAATAAAAAAAGGCTGCGGATATAGTACCCATGAAGGCCCTGGGTTTAAGCATATATACATGAGACAGGAATTGGGTCCTGCCATCCTGGAAACTTCTGAGGAAACCAAGGCAACTGTGTGGGTAAGTTTGGTACCAAGTTTGGCTGCTGCTGAAAAGAGGCTGATAGAGGATGCATTATATAACCGGGAAAAAAGTAGACCCGGTAAAATAGCTTTCCAAACTTAATCAAGGAACTAATCACCTCAAGCTCTTGATGCTGTTGGAAGTCGTGTTCTAAGAGTTGCAACTTTTGCTCATCAGTCTGCCCTTGTGGGGATGGGGACAGGGCAAACCCACAAATGGAATAAAAGGTGGAGAACACAGATGTCTGTAATTAGGGCTTGCAATGGCGTCTGCCTGTGCAGACTTCCCAGTGTTTCGTGTGCTTTACCAAGGGAGTCCCAGGTCTGCCTTGCCTGACCCTGTTCCCCGTGAGGGCTCCTCATGCAGAGCACTGCAGGTCTTTCTAGTTTCCAAGGTCGGGGGAAAGAACGAATGTCTGCTTTCGCCTGAGTTGATGCTCTAACTTCAGTGCTACTTGAGCTGTCCAAGGTGGACATAAGCAGCAGGTATAGAGTTTGGAGCAACACGAAGACCTAAGGGACCAGAGATGGCCACATCCTCCCGGCCAGTCACCAGCCTTAACTGGTCTCACTGGGAAGATCAGAGGTCCTGACACCACGGAGCCCACCGCATCCGCTCCAACGCGGGAGGCCCGAGGAGCCTCCTCTCTCCCCTCTGTGCGGGGTTTCTGGAGGCTGACAGAAGCTGGGGTCAGGTAAGCAGTGAGGACGGGGTGAGAAACAAGGACGGGTGCGGACGCTGGGACAAAGAGGAGCGAGCTCTGGCCGAGCCTCGCAGGCCGCAGGAGGAGGCGGCTCTCTGCGTGGTAATCGGAGTCGCGGAGAGAGCGACAGGCGACGCTGCCTGTGTCCTGTCAACTCGGCGCAGCGCCCACAGGCCCCACCCCGGCCCCGAACCCCGGGCCGCGTCCCAGCCGCCAGTCCCGCAGCAGCCTCAACCCTAGGCACGCGCCGCAGGCCCCGCCCCTGCTCGCCGCTCATTGGCTGGATGAGGACGGACGCTCCCGACCCACCGCGTCATTGGCTGAGGTGGCCGCGGACCCCGCGCGAGTTGCCACTGACATCACACGGCCTGAGGCGGCGGCGCCCCCCGGCCCAGTCCCGCAGCCCCCTCGGCAGAGGCGCCGCAGCGGTGCCCGGCTGAGGATGGTGCGCAGAGCGCCGGGGGCTCCCAGCCGCCACAGCCGCAGCGCCGCAGCCCAGCCAGCCGCGGCGGATAGCCGACCCCCTCACGGGGCGCTGGGCAGGCGGCGGCGGTGAGGCGCGGAGGGGGCCGCGGCGGCCATGGGGGCCCTGACGAGCCGGCAGCACGCGGGCGTGGAGGAGGTGGACATCCCGTCCAATTCCGTGTACCGCTACCCGCCCAAGTCCGGTGAGGCCGGAGGAGGGGCGTGGGGAGGTGGGAACCGTGCATCGGGATGCGACGCGGTGGCTGCGGCGGCTCCAGAACGGGCTTCCCCGAGAGGGGGAGTGTCGTCAATAAGGCCGAGGTCCCCGTCACTGCTCCGGCGAGCGGGATGCGGTAGGGGCGGGCCGGGTCACAGGGGTCACCCTCCGCAGGGGACGCGAATGGCTCAGTGATAATCCGGCCTGCGACAGGGACGCGCGCCAGCGGATGCGCGATTTGGGGCGGTCGGCGCCGCGCACAGGAACCGACGGTCCCAGGGGAGACGGCCTCGGCTTCGGTGACGCACACCTGGGCCAGGTGCTGCCCCTGGGTTGTCGCATCCCGGACCCGGGAAGGTTAGAACGAGGTTTCCCGTGGAAAAGCTCCCATGGCCTGTTGGGGGAGGGAGGCCCAACCCGCATTTGCAAAGCTGGTCGTTTTCTAGAGACCGTCAGAAGAAAAAAACAAAAGTGTTTCCACAGAAACGTTTGGGAATCTGAGTCTGAGAGTCACTCGGATGTCCCTTTGCTAGAAAAGCCGCAAGTGTGGTTTTGGGCCTAGGTATAGGTATGAGGTGTGTACAGTGCAATGGAGCATTCTATTTGTTTTTAGACGCACACCTTAAGTTTTAAAAAGTGACGCTTGTGGCATCAGCACTGGACGTGCAGGACAGCAGCGGAGAATCCCAGCATCACCCACTCGAGTGGACACCAACCTAGCTTAGCTGCTGGCACAGGCCCAGTATCTGCTGTTTATTTTTTAACTTGGTCTTTTCAAGACTTCTGGGTACCCGTGGATACCATCTCCTCTCTGGCTTGGGATCTAATGGGGATTTGGGTGATCTCGGAGTGGCTGAGGTGTCAGAATTGGAGTGGAGCCATTCGCCTTTCGGTTGAATAAAGACATGCTAATGAGAAGAGCTGGTTTCTCAGCAGTGCGTCCAGTTTCTGCCAGGTGAAAGCAGGGGCCAGACAATGAACCTGCCTCCCTGCAGAGTGTCTGCCAGAGCTCTGTTTCGCACTGCCTTTGTGCCAAAGAATGAATCCTTCAGCGATGAGTATGAGCAAGAGCTGCTCTAGGATGGTTTGCAATAGAGCTGTGGATGGTGTTTTAGAAAGAGCGGGCCAACAATGACTAAATGAAACAGTGCTAAAGAAAACAGGCGTGTCGTTTGTTTATTTTTGAGGTACTAGGGATTGAGCCCCAGATTGATACCGAGTTAAATCCCCAGCCCTTTTCTAATTTTTTTAAAATTTTGCGACAGGGTCTTCCCAAATTGCACAATCTGGTCCTCAAATTGGGATCCTTCTGCCTCAGCCTCCACAGTGCTGAAATTATAAGTATTCCCGCTCCCAGCTGGTTTGGTTTAAAAGAATGAAAGCATGAGGTAAAAATTTTGTCCTCACTGCTGTTGTCCATTTATTTTGGGGAAGTACTTAAGAGGAATTATAAGGAATTGAATTCAGGACTTTGTGCTTGCTAGAGGGGTGCTATGCCACTGAGCTATATCCCCAGCTAGCATCTATATAGATTGATCCATTTGAAGAAGCCTGAAGAATTTTTTTTATAAAAATTACAGTACTTGGCAGGCAAAAGCTTCTCCTATGCTTTAAAAAACACTGCTAGCTCCCCTTCCTCTCCATATACCTCCCAGCCATATGTAAATGTTGCTTTCTTTGAAATTCTTCCAGAATTTTATTTTATTTTTTTGGGACAGTGCCTCACTATGTCGTTCAGGATAGCCTTAACTCACTATGTAGCTTAGGTAGCCTTGAATTTGCAGTGATCCTCAGGTCTCAGCCCCTGTAAGTGCTGGGATTCCAGGCGTGCACTCACACACCTGGCTTCTTCTTGTTCTTTCACCTTCAGAGATATGAGATATCTTTTTATATTCTCTATCTGAGAGATTTTTGTTCTTTTTAACATCTGTGTAATAGTCCTCAAACATGTGTGCCATTGTTTCTTTTTTTCTGTCCCTTAGTGATGAACTTCTCGAGTTTCTCAATATTTTATAACAACAAGCATGCAGCAATAAATAATGTTGCCCATATATTCTTAGGTGAATTTTAGCTTTGCTAATGAAGGCATGAATATCAACCAGTTAAGTAACAGAGAGTGTGAGGAAGTTAGTTTCTATATAGTATTTTTACTTTTAGTTAGCATGCAAACCAATTCTATGCTAACTACTCACATTTCATTGTGAC